AATATAAGTTTTAAAACCATTTGTCACAGTTCTAAATTTAACAGGACTTTTATGGAATTTTGGAGTTAAAAATATATATGGATACTTAATTTTAGGAATACAAAAACTTAATTTTTTATAAATAGCAATAATACGATTACTAATTTCATTATGTGACAAATCTAATTTTTTAAAAGATCCATTATTTAGAAAGTGATCATTAAGAATATTATAATATAAATACTTACAAATCACAGCATAGTTACCAGGTACTTTATTAATGTAAACTATGATAAAATTCTTTTGTAGTTCATAAATTTTCTGTTTTATATCTTTAAATGTAGTTTCATATTGAGAATGGTAGCTAAAATTCATAAGGTTTTTTATAATATTGTACTTATACTCATCAAATGCCTCAATAGGTAGTCCAAATTTAATTGCAGATTTTGTAATAAAATTATTTATACCTTTAATAATTTGTTTTTTAACAGTATTGTTGTTATTAGAAACATTTAATCTAAAACTAGTGCCTTTACTCATTATATCTTTTAAAATATTGTCATTAATTATGTCTAAGTTGCCAGTAACTACATGTTTATGATGACCATCAATAAAATCATTATAGTTTTTACATATACAATCTCCTATATTAATAGAGGGCAAAACTATTGTTGTAATTAAAGCAGTGGTTCTCAAACTTTCACTACTGGCGACCCAATTTTCAAACATAATTTTTATCGCGCCCCCTAAAAATAATAATGTATTGAATGCAATAATAATTCACTTTGTTGCTAAAGCTACAATACGATCATAATTATAAACCGTACAAATTAACAAGATAAGTATTAAATTTTGTATATGTTACTTTTAAGTATATATATATATATATATATATATATATATATTTACTTTTAGTTCGATTCACTATAAAAGCGTGTTTTTAGTTTGTTTTAAAACTATAATTTATTTTACAGTTATTTTTACTATACACGATAAAAATCACAATTCTAGTGAATAATTTAATTCAGAGAAAATATACTTACCTACTTTTAAGGACTTTTCAATTTTTCTTAGAAAATTTGAGGAAAAATCCAATAAAACTAAAGAAAATGTTCCAAATGTGCGTGTTCTTAATAAAGGACATAAATCACAGACACTTTTCGCTAACAACACAGGAAAGTTATTTTCCAGCTAAACTGTCATATTTTGTTCACGTTTTTGTAGTTTTGCTGTCGTTTGATGATCTACAAATAGCATTTTGAACTTTTTCTTCCTTGTGTTTTTTTGACAAGGTGAATTGCTACATTATGGCTTCATAGTTTTCTTCATAAAGATCTTTAGGCAGCATTTGAAAATTTCAAATCAACTCAAACGTTTCATGTCAAACACTTTACTGATATTTACTTTCGTGATCTTGATTAATATGCATTATTTCAGTAGGTTCTTCAATTGCTTGATCAGTTTCAACTTCCTTCAATAGGGATCACAGATACCCATTTTTTAAAAATATTCTGCTTATTTACATTTATATACCATAATAAGTCGTACAACACAGCAATCAAAACTACAAAATTGTTCATAAGGAAAGTGTAACATGCTCTAAAAAATAATTGTGTAAAACGTTTTTCATTATGCATTATATGTTTCAGAATACTCATGCTTATCCATGTATCATAAAACTCTTTCACATGGAAAAAGAGGAAACAGAAATATATGTATTATATATATTTACAACTTTCTTACAAAAAAGACGGAGATAACCATACCAGTAAGTTCGAAGGTCAGCTAAAGTAATATTTTAGGTTAAAAGAAACGTAAAAAAAAATCTCTCATCGTTCTCATATTGACCGCACAGCAAACAAAATATTTTTTTTAAATTTGGTTGTAGGATCAAAGAGCGTTTGAAGTGGAATTTTTTATTTTTGATGATCACCAGATGATAAAAATAAATTATATCAGTGTGAATGTGTATTTTTTATGATGTCAGAAAGCATCTTCATTCCAAAAATTATTTTTTAAACCTTTTATTTTCAATATGCTCGCGCCCCCAGGGGGTCGCGCCCCACAGTTTGAGAAACACTGAATTAAAGAGAAATCGTTTTGCTCTATTGAAAGGCTTTCTTTACAACCCCCTTTCTAATCGGAAAAAGTCTATTCAATACTTTAGAAAAGTGAATTTTGTCAAAAGTTTTATTCATGAAGTGCAGTACTCTGTAATAGGTTCATTAATTTTCTCAACATTACTATTGAATTTATTAACTAGAGAGTTAAGAATGTGTATTGCATTTAAGGAATCATTATTTAAGGTTTCATATAACAATACAATTTCATGTTTATTAAGACCAAACATGAAGTATTTGATCTTCTTGATATTAAAGTTTTTTTCAAAATCATCAATAAGAACTTTAATATTGTCATTTAATGAATTTTTATCTCTATTTTTCCTTTTAGTTCTATTACTTCTAGATTTTCTTTTAGAATTATTATTTATTACACTTAATTTTAAAAAATTATTTTTCTAGTAATTTTAAAATGAGAACGTGCAGTTAATCAGACTGTCACATAACGCATATTTAATTAATTATAACACATTTTACGTTTTTTCGGCCAAAACTGTTTTTTACTCCGTTAGAGCACTGACCGAAAAAATTAAAAAATATTTTTCCGAAAATTAAGAACATTAATTAATGTATAACTTTTCGAGATGGAGAGTGTATATTTAAAATTTAAATTATTCGATATTTTAAAATAAAAATACCAAATAATTAATTAACTACTTTAATTTATTAATAACATTTTAAATAATTAATAAGTTTTTATTAATTAAATTAATTTAATAATTTGATCTGAAATTAAATTATTTGAATTATATAATTTTAACAATGGAAAATTTATTTAAATTCGTTTTTAATTGACACCTGTTTTACATTAACTATAAAGAAAGCAATAGATTTCTATTTTTTTTCTTAAAAAATTAGCCATTTCATTCAAATTCTTGCTGGCAAAAAGCGATAGTAATAATTAATAAAAAAACAGTTAAAAGTATAGGATTTTTAAATTTTTATGATAAAAATTATTTCATTAACGCAGAAAATTATCTTATGATTGCAATTATAAGTGAAATAAAACAAATTACAAAATTTGGATTGTTCTACAATCAATGGCGCATACAAGGGGGGAGGGTCCTAGGGGTCCGGACACCCCATAGCCCTTGGGTTTTTTTTCGATTGGTTATAATCTTATGCATATATTACGTACAATTTAATTATGTATTTGTTATTAATAATTAATTTTATTAATTAATTCTAATTATTATTCAATAATTAATTTTGTATTGTTTTTGTTCCCGAAAATCGAAAAAATCAGAAGAATATGTTGGGCGACGTATTGGGGCACGATACCAAAAGGGTGGACTTTCGACTCTGAAAAAATTTTGTGTGCGGTACTCTCTCCACAACAATACTACAGCGTAAGCAATATCGCTTCATTAGCTTAAGTTACTAAAAAGCCCTATTTTACATGTATAATTATAATATCTAAACTCTTAAAAACAAGTAATAAAAAGAAAACATTTTAAGTCAATTCCTACTTAGGACAAAAAAGAAAATTTTTATTATAGTTACTTTTCATTAAATAGTTACAATTAATATAAATATGTGTATACATAGGCCAGAATCGCATAAGTATACACATAGTAAGTGACAAAATAGAAAGCGATTTCCTTTGCAGTTTTTCATTTTCCTTTCTATATAGCGTGTGGAACTATTTTTGAAGAGAAAACTTCTATAGCCGCGGTGGGCACTTTTTTGATAAGGGGGGAATCTTATGGGTTCGCGTCACCGACATGCTCATGTGTTATGTTAAACAATTAGATGAACCAATAATGATAAACTATGCATCAAATCCTCAAAATATTCTTCTACGTGATGATGAAATAATTGAAAGTACAAAAAGTCAAAGTATTGTTGAAATTATTGATGACAATGATGCAAACAATTAAGATAATGTTAAAAATCAAGTACATTGGAATTTAAGGTATCCGACTACGTTCGGAACCGTGATTTTGCAAAAGCGTAAAAACGAATATTTTTAAAAATATTTAGTGTCACTTACAGATTAGAATACACGTATGAAATTGTTTTAAGCATATTGTTACAGTAAAAAGTTTATTCAATGCAATTCTTCGGCAAAAAATGAATTTAGAATTTTCAACCAGTTTCCTTTTAAGGAAAATGCTTCTGTAATCATTCTATTTTGCCTCAGGCCTCTGCACAGAGTCTTGAGGCTTGACTAGGAGGCTTGAAATATTTCACTTAGAAGTGGATTTATTCATAATTTAATACACCCGAGTGGAGAATTTTTAACATAAAAACGCCGATAATTATTTCAATTGGTAGTAACTCTGAAAATAATGTGAATTTTTATAAAATCCTTGTTCAGGCTTTCTGGAGAAGTCAGCCATGTATATGCAAAATATTATTTTTACAGAGGCATTTTACATAAAAGGGGAACTTTTTGAAAATAAATAATTCTAAGTTTACTTTTTGCCGAAATATTGCATTTAAATAATTTTTATTATAATAATATTTTTAAAATAATTTTATATGCGTATTCTGATCTAAAAAACACTAAATATTTTTTTTAAAAATATTTGCTTGTACGCTTTTACAAAACTACAATTCCGAACGTTATCCATAAATAATGATTGTATATTAATTGTTATTTCAATTTATATTTTGTCATGATCTTGTGTGCAGTGCGTTTGAATAATAAAAATTCATATAAACGTGCACATAATTATTGCTCGGATTATCAATAGGTATGAAAACCGGATTGGTGTTGATAATTTTATTTCAAACATTTGGAAATTTCAAAATTTCATACTAAAGTTTTCACTTCTCTCGGCAACTGCCAAATTTTTATTTATTTATTTTTTGTTGTTTTTTTAATTCATAAATTAAATTTAATTATTCTATTAAAATGGTATAGTAAATTAAAATTCACCGTCTCAGAAATTAAGCCATCCCATGTGGGCTTTGAGCCCACGATCTTTGGATGACAAGTCCAAAGCGCTCTCCATTACGCTACAGGGGCACAACGAACAAGTTTCCTTTTTATACATGCTGTTGGACAGTTGTTTTTGTTTTTTACTATTTATTCATCTTTTAATTTAATTAATATTTGAAAAAATGCATTATAACATCAAGTATCACAAGTTTAAAAAAATTTATTTGAATTTTATTGACTATTGAAAATTTGAACAAGATATATATATATATATACCAGGGGCGCACACAAGGGGAGGCCGGACCCCCTCAAAGCCCTTGATTTTTTTCCGATTGATTATAATTATAAGTATAGTACGTAAAATTTAATTAAGTGTTTGTTATTAAAGATTAATTTTATTAATTAATGCTAATTATTTATTCAATAATTAGTTTTTTCTGTGTTTTGTTCCCGAAAATCGACAAAATCAAAAGGAGCATGATACAAGAAGGGTGAACTTTCGACCCCGGATCCCCCACCTCGAAAAATTCCTGTGTGCGCAACTGATATATATATATATACTCGAATACTATTAGTTGTTAAAAACTTCAGTAATTCCAATAATTCTAATAAAATTGAACTCAGACACTTTCACTAGCATTAATTTAAAAATGTTGAATTATCAGTTATTAAAATTATATCAAATACTATATGCACAGTTTATAGTGGGAAAATCACTTTATTAGGAGTTTTAATACAATCTATTCATATGGTCTTAATGTTATGTACTTTGCTATAAACACATTGCAAATTTTATTACAAAGTATTAATAAAGAATTTTTTTATAATGTTCCCAATTTAAATAATAATTCTAAAAGAAATTCTAGAAGCAAAAGAACTAAAAGGAAATACAGAGATAAAAAATCTTTAATTGATAATATTAAAGGCTATTTCAGATTGCTACACTTTATTATTCATGAATAACACTTTTGATAAAGTTAATTTTTCTAATGTAATTACTAGACATTTGTCACTTTTTCCTCTTAGGAATGTAGTTGTTAAAAAAGCATTTAAATGTAGTAAAACGATGGGCAGATTTATCTTTAATCACAATAATTGTTCACCTTCTCTTAACATAGACGTTTGTAAATGTAAAAACTATCATGATTTTATTTATGGTTTTTATACATGTAGTTACAGGCAACTTAAATATAATCAAAGACAAAATTTTAAGATATCATGAGTAAAGACGCTAGTTTTAGATTAACTATTTCTATTAACAACAATACTATTAAAAAACAAATTAATAAAGATATAAATAATTCTGTTACAAAATCTGTAGTTAAATATGGTTTGCCTACACTGCGAAAAACCGGTATTCAAAAATGAGTTCAAAATACTCACTTTTAAATGCGTCACATACTCAAAATAGCTCCGATGCAAACATACTGAAATTTCAGAATAGCTTATTCTCCTCTATGGCAACCAGTACCTACTCAAAATTGTAAACATCAGATACGTACTCATCTTTGAACCTGTTACTGGATCAAATTTGAGAATATAACAGGAAAATGAGTGCGTAATGCACTCATCTATGAGTTTTTATGTGTCAAATAGGAATATGTATGGCTTTTATTTTATGGTTAGTGTATCTCCAATATGAGTTTTTAACATATATGTATATAAAAGAGAAAAGCGACTCCCTGACTAATCACGATATCTCCGGAACTATTAAACCTTCAGATTTGAAATTTGGTAGGTAGGTTCCCTTCATGGAGTAGACACCAGCTAAGAACGGATTTTGCAAAGATCGAACCCCAAGGGGCGTTATAGAGGATTATTTCTATTATTAAACTATTAGATGTACTGTCTTGACACTTGATACACAGATTGCCTTCATAAAGTAGAGATTCCCTACATAATGATTTTTACGAAAATAGACCTCCAAGGGGCGTTGAGGGCACTTAAGGGGCGTTATGCATAATTATTTAATGTTATTATTTCCGATATGCATGAAAATATGACAAAAATTTCACTAAATTACAGTTGTCGTTAAACCTGAAAAAAAGTTCGTTATTTGGAAAATTTCGTGAAATGGTGATTTATCTTTCAATATAGTTTAAAAACCAATTAAAATAATTTTAAAATTCACATAACTATACATTATTATAAAATTAATTGTTCCCACGCCTTCTTTTTTGTAAGTTAATATTTATTTATTTTACATACCTTACCTATAGAAAAGAATTCGGCTAGAAAAGCAGGGGGAAAAAACAATTTTGTTAAGAAATGTATAATCAGTATTTCCAACTTTAAAAAGTACTTTTGTATTATGATTAACGAACTTTAATAACATTTTACAATTTTATGACTACAAGTAATTTTAAACATGCATATTTTATGACCAGTAATTTTAATAATACGTGTCCTTCAATTTAACTGCTGGTTAAGTCTATTAATTTTGTTTGAGTGTTTTCGTTTAAAAAAAAATGTTTTCTCTCATTCCTCGCATCTTTGCAGTGCACAAAATACCTCATCAGACGTATTTTTTTCACTCAGTTCAAGTCTAATCGTTTCAAATGATTTTACTTGCTCATTACATCACGCGAATGCCCAGAAATATTTCAAAAACAGAGAGGAAAAAAAATCGAATCCCAAGAGGAAAAGTTCGATAAATGGAAAATGCACCTAGCCATATGGAGGTTATTTGACGAAGAAAATCATAAAATTTTCTTGGTTCCAGGAAAAAGTTCGCGAAATAGAGAAATTCGCAAGATGGAGGTTCGCAAAATGGAGGGTCGACTATATTATATTCATAAAGAATTAATTTCCAAATTAAGCTTCCTTTTTATTACACTTCCTTAAGTTGGTATGGGATTGAAAACCTGTTTCCTTGTTGAATTTTAATAATTGTTCATATAGATAATCCGAGAAAAAGCATGAATATTGTTAAATCTGGAAACCTGGAAGAAATATGAACATTTTTAAAATATTAACTTAAATGTTTTAAAAAACTAGCGAGAGTTCTCAGTTATAAATTTATATAAAACTTTTTTATAAAATATATATATATATATATATATATATATATATATATATATATATATATATATATATATATATACATATATATCTTCAGAAAATTTCAAAATTATCTAAACAGAAAAAAAAATTTATTGAATAGAAAACCCTTTCACATATCTTCCAAAATGAAAATCTGAGAAAAACACATTTAAAATTTGTAAAGGCGTAAAATAGAAACTAATAATGTCTGTAAATCTCTAATTTTTTAATACATTTTTTTCCAACTGAAGAAGGTTGTAAAATAGCTTGTAATTTTCTATGAGGCAAAAATCGTTTTAACCTATAATTATATCATATAGGAGCTAATCTCTGACTGCAATGTAAGGGTATTAATAATAAATCATTATTATTGTTGTTACTAAAATCAATAACTGTATGAATCAAAACTTGAATTTTACTTTGCATATGCAGCATAGAATAAGTCTAATTGTCATACATCACTTTGACACTATTGGTACTGCAATTCATGGTTAGCTGTTCTGTGATTAAGGTTTAATTTTTTTGATAAGTGTGTAGTTATCTTTTTATGGATCATGTCTAAGAAAAAGGATTTAAATTAATTATTTATAAAGTTTCATTTTTAAAATTGGTCTTTTGAATAAAATAACGTAGTATATATATACATTACATACGTTCAATAAATGTATATTAATCACTTGAATTAATGAAATTATATACTGATGTATAAAACAACACTTTGTTATAAGCAGATTTCAGCCTTTATTAGTATATGTATTTTTATGTTACTAATAATTTTTTAATTGTGCGTTCATTGAAGATATTTAATTAACATACTATCTCTTTTATAAATCAATACAAATTATTGGATTTTAAAAATATGAAGTAGCCAACGAGCTGATTCTTTGGGGTGACAAAAAAGAAGAAAACAAAATTCTTTGGGAGGAGTACAAATTACTTTCAAATTTAAAGGAAACACCGACAGCTAGAATGCACAATTTTTTTCTTGCATAATGTACGATGAGCAGTAATCGTCTTTGAACAGTGAAGAAGGGCAAATAGGTCAAGCAGTCGTAAAAGCACACATTGGGCTTCTTTTCCTCCCCCCTCCATTGTGGCGGGAACAAGAGGGAGACACCAGATACTTTTTTTGTCCTCAGTTACTTCCCTAACCAGTTTATGTCGTCTAAAATGGAATTCTTAGTACACAGTTTTGTCGTATTTTCATAAATACCAAAAATAATAACATTAATTTATAAAATAAGAAATGGAAATGTGGTTAAAAAAGATTATAACAATTTATATGAAAAAGTGCTCTAATGACCATTTTCACAGAAAAATGATGTTTTCTTTTTAAACACTTGTATCGAAACTTATTATGTTCTTGATGAGAGTTTCTTACAAGGCAATTTTCAGAAATTTAAATTTAAGTACAATTTATTTTTACCATCTACATTTTCTTAAACAGGATACCACATAATGTAGCCTATTTTCTGAGCTGTTATTGGTTACCCAATACACACACATGCGTAAAAATTAAACAATGTGTTTGAAATGAATTTGGAAAGGAGCTTATAATTTTCTTTGAGACAAAAATCGTTTTAACCTACAATTATATTATTAAGAAGCTAATCTCTTATTATCTAATGACATTAACATCAAATTATTATTATTGTTACTAAAATCAATGACAGTGTGTGACTTGAATTTTCATTTACATTTACTACATAGAATATGTCAGATGTATTAATATGCGACACTTTTATCATATATGAAGTGACCGAAGCTAATTGTTTGGGATAACAATAAATAAATAAAATTTCTTTGCTCCCATAAAAATAATTTTTCTAACAGGCTTCAGTAGTAAAAGTATGAGTTAATAGCCATTTCCTTGAAAGAATCGATTATTCTCACAAATATCTCTTTTTATAAAAACAAAAAAAACTTTCGTGATGCTGTAATAAATTTACTTCTACTTAAGGTGAAATTAATAAAAGAAACTACATCTTTACAACGACTATATGACTAGTAGAGAAAGTCAAAGGAATAAAAAAAGAGAATTTGCC